CTACTTCAATATCTATAGTAATATTTGTAGTGCATTAAATAACCAACAGTTAAGTGATTTTGAACTAATTAGAGAATATAGTATACTTTAAAATCTATAAGCAGTTATATCTTTATTAAAAGGCAATTTGAGTACTCAAAAAACAATAGATAGTGAAAGTTATTTATGAGAGTTAAAACTTAAAGTTATTTACTTAAATGTTACTTAAATGTTTAAAACTACTTATACATGCTTAAACTTGAGGATTTTATACTTTAAAATATTATACAAAACACACTGAGCAAATAATTTATTAAGAAACATAAAATAAAAGTTTTGTCAAGTCACATCTCGAGTATGTAAATCATAAATATTAAGAACCACAAAAGTTCCCCACACAGTATAAAATTAAACTTGTTAAAGCATTTGTTAAATTGTATGGGAATATGTAATTAAAAAAATTTCAGGAGCATCGTCTCGTTTGGTACGAATGCAGAATGAAATAAAATTGAATATACAAACTCTGTGCTAAAATATATGAGACAAAATTATAAACTTTTACATATATATATACATATACATATATATATATATTTATATATAAAAGTGTGTATTTCAGAACACACAGGTGTCACACCTGTGCCTCTGTCACGTTGTAAACGATTAGGCATTTTAAATTTGTGCCTGAAATTATGCAATGATGTTTAGAAGCGAATCTCGACAGCAATAATTATTCTCGTAACTTATGAAAATATCGCTTAATAATTAAGTAATTAATATGCAAAGTGAGGCAAACAAGGTTTCTCATAAATTCATAACTAAATCTCAGTTAATTTGCGCATAAAAGCGTTATTAATCCCAATTAAAAATTCAAAGGCCATGACTGGCGAAAAACGGAGTGACAAAGTGGCAAGAATCTCAAAAATGCTAAAGTTTTAGGTAAAAAATTATAGTTATATTCAAAAATTATTAAACACTTTTAAAAAGAAATATTCGTAATATTTTGAGAAGTTTAATTGCATATTTATATTTAATATTAATATCTTTCATTTCCTACATTAATAGAATAAATAAATCACATCAGACATGAAATTAAAAAAATTTATAAATTTATTAAGCAATTATAATAGCAGTACAAAATGACAGTAGATGTTCTATTTTTATAAAATACACATAAATTATTATATTTTTATTGGCATTTATTTAAATACAAAAAAGTCATTATATAGCTTCGAAAATGAAGAATAGACAATCAGATACATTCTGATGAAATTACAAAATTATTAAATACAAAATAATTCATTAATTGAAGTGCTAGATACATTTTGCTATTCAATAAAGTATAAAAAAAAATTAACGAATGAACGTACTATAAAATAACTATAAAGCTTGTGTAAATAAATAGCACCAATAGCTAAAAGCCTTAATATTTTTCACAAAATAATGAGCTAGTTCTCAACAATATAAAATTAAAAGTTTCTTAAACAAAATGTTTAAACATTTTAAAAAAACGTTATAAAGTATTAAGGTATTAAGGGAAGGGAAGAGAGTGAACATACAAGGTAAAGTGTCTGATTGCATTCACCTTGGTAAATGCCAAAGAGATCCTTGTCACTGTTTTCTCCAAGTTGACACACCCTCCCACTTCTCACTCTGTATAGTTAGATCTAATGTGGGCAACGAGGTCCTCATGGATATAAGATATCATGCGTCCGGCTTGGAAACCACCATGGAAAAACACAATTCCAATGAAAACAAAGAGTAAGCTTCGGATAATAGAACTGACCATCCTTAGACAAAATAACACCGCTACTAATGTCATTTCAATAACACAATAGATCCAAAGAAAACTATTAAGGACAATAAAGCAACTTATCCGTTTTTTAAAAATTACTCAGATTGATATCCAAAATAGTTACGTACATAAGTGATTTGCAAATAAGCCGTAAGAATGTACTCAATAATTTAGAAAACCTTTCTAACTCCATGTGAGTTGCATATTTGAGGACAGATTTAATTGTGCGCATAGCATACGGGTATCTTTGGTAACAAGAGGTTAAAAACTTCCAGATCGGACGCTTAAAAATGGACAGATATAGTTAAATTATAAAAATTATTCTTAATACATATTATAAACCAGATTGCAGATCTATTTTAAATGACTCAACTGATCACAATCCCAATAAAAATTAGGCAAAAATAGAGTTTACTACTAGAAGTAGCATTGCACTTTACACTGGGTAGTAAAGTACTATACGGCTGTACTATACGGCTCGTATAGTAGCCAGAGTATACTAAATCGGCTGAGGTAATCTTAAAAGCAATCATCTCTGAAACTCCATGTAAGTATTTTTGGTGAAATTATTGGCGATCTTAAGAATCTTCTTGGTACAGATTTGGTTGTTATAATAATAATAAAAGGGAATTCTATATTTTTATAAATAAAACTGCTACTATTAAAGCTATTTCACAGATCTGCATCTCATTTATGTAACTATGTCTAGATGGATGGTTCACTTACTATGTGAAAAGTCCAGAGCAATTGTTTTTTGGGTGTCTTAACAGCTATATATAACACAGGACCACAATGCAAATAGGTTGTCTCTTCAACAGAATATATCTGTAGAGTTACTCTTCCTGCTATTTAGCCTGACATTATAAAAGAACTGCAACATGGCGTATATGTGAGACGATGAGATCTATAGATAAGTAAAGTCAAAACGGTTAAAGACGATTGGGCATATGTATCAAACTAAAGCTCTCACACATATGTTTAGATATGTGAAATATATCTAAAAAAATAATTAATTTCTGCAAATACAAAATAAAAACAATTGTGCAACTTGTCTGGAGACTTATTACAAATGAAGGTATGACGCATACCGTATTATAACTTAAAGCAATCCTGAGAAAGATAAATGTCCACCGCTATAAAGGTAAAACAATAAGACTAATCGATTTAGTGATATCCATCTATTAATCTGTTATAATACAAACTAGTCTCACAAATTTAGAGTTTATCGAATGAAGCTACATATGGGAATTTTCTAGGGTACTAACTTAGGGATATTAACCCGGCAAGGTGTAATTGATATCGTAGGACTCATGCAACAGCCAACAGCTAACAAATGATAAAAAATATGTATGTACATACAATTTTTAATCAGAAATGTATGAAAAACAAAAAAAAAAATAAGTAGAAAAAAAATTGCCTTATTGCAAAAACTATCTAACTGAAAAGTGTTGAAGGTCTGTGAACTTAGACGTATTAACTCGAGAAGGTGTAATTGATATCGTAAGACCCAGACAACAGTTGAAAGCTGACTAATAATAAAAAATATGTATGTACATAATATCTTAAATCAAAAAAGTATTAAGAAAATTTAAATAGAAAATAAATTGACTTATGGCAATAACTATCTATCTGAAAAGTGATGAAAGTCAGGTCAAAGAATATTTTTTATTCTATTTTTTGATAATTGAATCGATTTTTTATGTTTTTAATCACATAAACGAAAACTGACTACAGAAACAAAATTAGGACAGTTCACATTATTTGGGTTTTACTTTTTTCATGTACCATTATGGCTTTTCCTATGCTCAACTCATAACGCTTCCTCATAAATAGAAAGCGCTCGAGCCTTTTTCACCATTTCCGTTCGTTGTTGTTTTAACTGTTCCACTTGCTTAGTGCCTAATGTATATTTTAATATGTATTTCCGTATTTGTTTGGTCACTTTGGATTGTTTCCCACAAGCTCCACTCAGCTTCACGCAGCTGCTGCCTCTCCCCGTATTGCTATTAAATAGCAAAAATAACAACTTCTAAACCAAACTTTATCATGGGTTTAATTTATGCGATTTTGCACAAATGTGAGCACCGGATTTTCTCCCACTCCAGTGCAACTCCATTTTGTCCATCGTAAGTAAATCAGTGTTAACCGTATACAGTTTCGCCTTAAAAAAGAAAGTAAAACACTTTAATTTAAATGTTTTATCAATGTTTACTCTTACTTTATTGATTGAAGTCATATTGTGTTAGCAACTTTACACTAAGAGATCAAATATTCCATTGATTCCTCTAGAGATGGCAATAATTCCATTATTTGGGCGCAACAGACAATAATTTAGTATTTGAATTTAACTGAAATATTGAATTATATTATTATTATTTCAATAATCTACAATATTGAACAGTTGTACATATATGAGAGATGTTCGAAAACTATTTATATTTTGGATTTTTTTGGAATTCTGTGATAGCAGTCAGTGATAGCAGTTTTCAGTTATCCAGAAAGGTCTTCATTACCTTTATGGTCGCAATACTTTCCAGTTTGTTTTAAATACAAAAATTGTATTCACAATTTTTTTTTGTTTGCAATTTCACTAACAGCTAAAGTCGGCCTATGAAAAAAAATGTTAAAAAAATATTAATATTAAAAGCAATTAATATAGTACAGTTTTGTATTTCAAAATATTGTTTATAAAATTAAGAAATTGTTTTATGCAACTGCTTCGTACTTGAGCATCCTGTCCATCCTTTTCTAGTATCCTGTGTGGAGAACCTACAATACGTATCAATGATTCAACAAATGGGCAAACATTTTACTAACCTAATCGATTTGCTCCTTTTGTAAGTACGTTGGAGCGGAAGATTTTTTTGTAAAATATTGTTTTCAGTTTGAAAATTTACATACTTAAAGTTTAAAACTACATCGTCACACAGCTTCTGCTTTCGAATACTAATAAAAATTGCAAAAATTTTTAAGTTTATCCACCTAAGTACAGACAGGATTTAAAATTGCAATAAATGCAATTGAACGACACATGTGGGAGACAATTTATCTACCTTAATGCCTAAAGGACACTTAATGTATTATAAACGACTAAGTAG